TCTGATACTTTAGAAAACAGAAAACCCTGAGAGGGAAAGTGAATTGCTTCAAGTCCCAAGACTCTAATGTCAGCATTCCAAATTCCAGGCCAGTTCTTTGCATCTGGTACTGCAACTTCAGCTGGAGACTGAATTCAGGCAAGGATGGGGTTGTCAGGACCCACACGAGGTCTGTCAAACTTTCTTAAGGCCTCTAGGAACCTCTGAGTATTGGAGGCTACATAACCTTTTTAGGAAATACAAATCTGTTTTAAATGGTAGGCGTGGAAAAGGAATCGTCTTAAGGCACATGACCCTCACCTGCAAAGCTAGAGCTGAAATTCAGCCTATAGAACCCTTACCATGGATCATGTTTCCCCTCATCACTTCACCTCATTCAAACTCATGCATGCAGCCTCCCCTAGTGGCCCTTTCTGACCCTGAGCTTGGTAACAGGGAGTACACTTCTGAGACATAAAAGCCAATGGCTGGGGACAGCAGGTGCTGAGGAAGTGACAGAGCTGATATTGCATTGGAAGGGTCTCTAGACTTGGTGAGCAGGTAGGAGAAGGAAGCACAGTACTTAGTTTTCCCAGATGTTCTACAATACAATCCCACTAAGCATAAGAGCTGCAAGGTGGATCAGCTGGATTTGAGGTCTCACCCCCCTCCTTGCCAGCTCTAAAATTTTAGGCAAGACAACAAGCCTTTCTGTGCTCCAGTTTCTTACCTATAAAATGGGGCTAATTATGGTCCCTGGGGGCTTATTGTGAGTAATGTATAAATGAATTACTAAGTACTCAGCCAATTCTTGGCACATAGTGGATGCCTGTCAATGTTCATTATTCTCACTCTGCTTTGGCCTCATGCAGATGCAACGAGGGAGTACAAGAAAGAATGCTTCAGAATGTCTACAGAATTCTTCTAGTGCAGGTAATATGTCATTTGGTGGAGTGTTTTGTTATTAAGAAAGGTCAGGGGATACTGAGAAGGCCCTGAGGTGAGACCAAAGGACCAGAATTGTTCTGCAAATTAAAGTCAGTACAATTTGAATTTCTGCAGAGTTTGTGAGGGGAAGTAGAAAGTGGCGTGGAAATGGGGAGAAGGACATTAAAACAGGAAGGAGAGTGGGTCAGCTCAGGTGGCGGAGGACTGAGCCCCAGGGAGGAGAACTGTCCCTTGAGGAATTCCCAATAGGTGGAATAGCTGAGGCTTTGCAAGAACAGAGAGACCTAATATTCAATTCTGTGTCATCTGCTGGCCCGCACTGGGATGTACTACAGTGCCTTACCAGCGTCTCTGCATACCCCAAATCCTTCTGTAGATCTTGCTATTCATAAATGTGAGTTACCATTCAAACTTGCAAAATCAAGGCAAAAGTGGCTGACTTCTCTGATTTGGGCAAATAAGCCACAAACCGTGAGCAGATATAAGATTCAAAATTTGGTGGAAGCAGAAAAGTGAAACAAGAAGTGACGAAGAAAAGGATGAGCTTCGCTTTCTTTACACCATTCTGCTTGGTTCCATGCCATTTGTGAAATGAGATGGGAACATTTTCTCTGGATATGGAAGAACAGAGTGGGTCCTCTGTCCAAAGGACATAGGCCCAGCCAGGTATCAGATAAGGGTCACTTTTGCTGTCCCATTTCCTCCTAACTGTGGCTTCATGCAAGAGTCATTATTAACTCTCTCTTCTGGGTGAGAAAACTAAAATCCAGAAAGGAGAAGGGTGTGGGGAAAGCTTCTCCTCCATGTGCTTTTCTGGCTTACTGCCTGTGAGGTGGCATTGGCTGGGGGCTATCCTGGCTGGGAATGGGAAGCTTGTGATAAGACTCAGAAATCCTTTCATTACCAAAAAGGACTTGGTTTTTGGTGGTTCCTCTGCAGTGAAGTGTGTCCTGTGATAGTTTCTTTAGCATGTGCACATAGCTCTATATTTCAGCTTCTGAGCCACTGCTGATTTTCTGCTGATGGTGGAAGATTTTCAACAGCCAGTGACAAAGGGTTCCCTAGAAGGTGTCTGGCTTGTGCTCTTTCCTTTTCTAGTGACAAACCACATGCTGTCTCTGAAGCTTCCTCCCAAGAGTAGCTGGAAGATGGTTTTCCTCTGCCTGGAATGTCTTGTAATGGCTTTTTTCAGAAGGGACAATTTGCTTGCTTCTGTTTGTTGGGGAAGGGAAGCTGTGGCTTCAGATTTCCTCAAGATATATGTTAGGATTTTTCCTTCTATGTTTACATATTGGGCAAGAGAATTATAGTCTCATAAAGTGTCAAAGCAGGAGAGACTCCTCCAGGGCATTTAGTATATTGCTGTTATATTCCAGATGAAGCTCAGAGAGGAGAAAAGGCTTATTCATCTGGAGGTCAGTTCTGGAACCCAGGAATATTTTTTCTACTTTGCCCTACTACAGTGTCTGCAGTTTGCTGAGTTAAGGGGAGTGAAGACTTGCACCAAAAGCAAGAGAAAGTCAGGGACCACCTCCAGCAGGTCACTGGCATCTCATGGTGGAAGTTCATCATGGGAGGGGGAAAGAGGGAGGAGCCCTGGATTCTCACTTAGTCATTAACTCCTTGTATGACCTTGGGCAAGTCACCTGGCTTCTCTGGGCCTCAAGCTTCTCATCTGCAAAATGGGAAGACTGTTCCTCACTTTGCTGTGGCTTGCAAAGGAGGTGTGGGAGGTCTTTAACAAAAGTTTCGGTCCCAGTGGGATTATTGAGTTGGTGCAAAAGTAATCGCAGTTTTTGCCATTGAACATAATGGCAAAAGCTGCAACGACTTTTGCACCAAGCTAATATTATTAGGATTAAAAAAATCTGGTTATGGAAACATTGAATTGTAAACTGAGGTTGGTTTTGATTGCTTTGTGTTATTCCCATGCATGGCTTAGATAAAAAGAAATCTGATAAGCAATCTAGTCCATGGTTCTTAAAATTCTGTGATTTATAGACCCAGGAAATTTCTCCCCAAAAGGAAAATTCAGAGACCAACAAGGAGCAGACAGCTTTTTATTTTGCCTACTGCAATCATTAAAACCAAACAAAATAACTCTGGCAAAAAGCAAGCCAGCCTAACTCCTGTGCATATCAACTTCATATTGTAAAAGAAAGGACATTTTGACACACAAAAATGAAGGACCGTCCCAGAGGAAGAGTGCCTCTTACATTAGATATAATTGGCCCTGTGAAAAGAGGGCTACTGTGTCCTTTTTTGCACTCCACTTTGGACTGATGGCAACTTTGTCAACTTTATTATGGGACCAGAAAACTAGTTAGAGTCCCCGTACTTGGCAACTTTGGATTGAAGTGCTCTTTAGGTGAGGAGACTGAGATCCAGAATGGCCGAGGTCCCATTACCTAATCAAAACCGTCCTCGTCATTGAGACCATGTTCATGATAAAAATCCCTTCTCCTTGTCAAAAAATGAGAAAGCTCCCATCTTCTCTTCCTTGGAAAGTCTGGATGGAGGTGGTGGTGGAACAGTGGGAGTGGGGAGGGGCAAGTTATATTCACTCAGAGCCTTTCGGTTTTTATAAAGCTCCATGTGAATGTGCATTATGAGTTTAACTCAAACATCTGACTCCAAAGCCTGTAGTGACTCCTCCAATTCGTTAGCCAAATCCAGCCCAGCATCTCATTTGAGAAATAATGTTTTATGGGAACGCAGCCCTGGCTACTCATTTGCATGTAGTCAGACTGGCTCAGCACTACAATAGCAGAGCTGATTAATTGCAACAGAGACATTGTGGCCCCCAAAGCCTAAACGTTTGCTGTCTGGCCCTTTGTAGAAAAAGCCTGCCTACCACTGTATTCTAGCATGCTCCTTTTAATATTAATGTGACTGTCTGCATAGACATGATAGGAATTGAGGACTCAGGCTAAGTAATTCCAGCCAAAATGAGATACTGTTGACAAGGTTGTGATTAATTAGTCTGCCTTGAAAGATCCAGAAGCCTTGTCTTTTGGGGGCTTGTGCCCCTACTTTTGAAGTCTCTGGGTGATAAACTACATGAAAGGCATGACCAAGGGAAAATTGAAGGACACTCCAAGTGTGATGCTGTGACTATGAGGAGCTGTGTCCAGTCATCTGTGTCCTCTGGTCTCAAGGACACTCTTGTGTCCCTACGCTGGTGCCTATGTTAACTCACTTTTTCACTTTTTGCTCTGAGCTGTCTGGTTTTCCAGCTGTGTTTGCCATCTAGGTTCTAAAGGTTACAGGACTGAGATGGGGGCTGGTGTTCTTGGGTGAAAAAGACACTGTATTAGAGACGAGGACATCTGGGTTCTAGGCTTGGTTTTGTATGACCTTGGACAAGATGCTTCCCTTTCCCTCTCTGGGTCTTCCTTTTCTTCCTCTGAGCAATGAAAACTTTAATCAGATCATCTGAAAATTTCTCAGCATCGATGTTAACTGAACTTGGCATATCATCCCTCCGAGGCTAGTAGAGATGATGTGTTAATTAGTGACTTCAATGATTGGAAATATGGGGAGTGAGGAGGAAGTCTGTTTTCACAAGTCCTTGACTTCATTATGCATTTTAGCTATTACTAGTTATTTAATGATTACTATGTGCCGGTTACCATACCAAGCAATTTATAGATGAGACCTGAATGACTTCTCCAATACCTTGATTAGGTGAGTATTATTATTCCCATTTAATAGATGAAGGAGTTAAGGCTCCCAGATGGGAAGTCAAGCCAAGATTCTTTTCCACATTTATCTGATTTCAGGTTTCAAGATTTAATACAACACTGCCTTGCATTCCTGCCTATGCCAGAGGTGGAATTTTCATTAATGGGAGTGTCAAGGGCTGGTGGGAGACTTGTGGGGATGAGTTCAGGGGCTACTAAGGTGAATTCAGATGCATCAGCTCAGTCCTGAGCAGCCCTTGCCTCCACCCCCACCCACTTTGCTTCTGGGCCATGTCATAGAGTCGTTTCTGGTTGATAATCAGCTTTCACACTTTATGGCATTCATCTAGATGACTTACTACACAGTGACACCTAATTCCAAGATCTTACCTCCTTTGAGGGGGATGTTGTCAGGTGGGCTGGGAGTGGAGTCCTGGAAGAGAAGGAAGAAAAAAGAAGCATGAGGTGTGACATTCAGTTGAAACAACTTTTTTTTTTAATTTCTTTTTCATTTTGTTGTCCTTAAAGTACTGTGCAATTTAGAATTCACCATCCACCTACCTCTTAAATTTTAAAAATTAATTCACTGATGTAGTTTGCAATGGGCTTTCTATCCATTTGTTTGACAATGTGACTATTAGAAATGCAAGATAAGGATTGCTGTCCTCATTTCACAGACAAGAGACATGGGAGAGAGTAAGATAAAATGACTTGCCCAGGGCCACATAGTTATAGAAGATCAGAGTCCAGAGCTGGGACTGTTTTTTTTGTTCTTTTTTTGAGACAAAGTCTTACGCTGTCACCCATGCTGGAGTGCAGTGGTATTATCATGGTTGGCTGCAGCTTCCACCTCCTGGGCTCAAGCGATTCTCTCACCTCAGCTTCCGGAGTAGCTGAGAGTACAGGTGCACATCACTACATTCAACTAATTAATTTTTTATTTTTATTTTTTTGTAGAGACAGGGTCTCACCATGTTGCCCAGGTTGGTCTCGAATTCCTGGGACCAACTGATTCTCCTGCCTCAGCCTCCCAAAGTGCTGGGATTACAGGTGTGAGCTGTCGTACCTGGTTAGGGCTGGGACTCAACTCCCAATCTCATGCTTTTTTTTTTCCCCTCCACATGTGTGATTTTTTCCCCCTTTGGTCAACATGAGAATAATCAAGTGTATTATAGAAGTATACGTTGTTTCTTTTTTCCATGTTTGATTCATCTGTGAAAGTGTGTTGTAAACATACCTGGAAGGTACATCTCTATCTCTCCTGTGGTTGGAAGTTCTGAATTGTGTGTTTATATGCCAAGCATTGTGAGAAAACCATACATAATTAAATTGGGTCCCCAACCTTATGGATTTATTACAAGTTCATATTTAAATATACAGATATGTATACATATGTAGTATAAATACATACAAATGCATATTATATATTTAAACATTTACATTATATTATGTATTATTTATTCTATAACAAACAAATATATACATAAATATTTACACAAATAAGTAAGAGGTTGATAGAAACAGATTGTCTTTTAAAGAAGGGAATCCTGGGCTGAGGACTGAAGAGGATTAAAGGGAGGTTCTAGTTCAAGGGCTCTGAACAAGGAGTTAACAGAAGCAGAGATGCACAGTTCTTTTCCCCTAATAAATTATTCAGTGACTAACTTTCACACCCTAATTCTCCCTCCCCTTTCTCCCCAGCCATGAAGACACTTGTACAATGTCCCACCAATAAGCAATAAAGTATCTTATTCATCTTTTGACCTGCCAAGGTTGGAATCTTCTATAATCCATTAAATTGAAATATTAATAAAGACCTAGAGAGGTGTGAGCACGTATATGGGAAAAAACCAACTTCCTAACTTCTACCAAAGCAAGAAATGAGCAGCTGCCCACAGCTTATTTTCTTAGTGTTCCGTGTGAACACTAAGACCATCTGGAGTTCCCCTATTATTATAACACTTCCCTAGGAGCTCGGTCCTTTGCCTTCCACTGACAGCTTGTTTTTTTATGAATGGATCTCTTCTCTAGTGCAAGAGGATGGTAGTGAGTCAAGGCGGTCTCCTGAAGGCAAAGCCTTGGCATAGCACCAATCTGGAGATGGGGAAGTCAGTTTAAACATGTGGGCCCCAGCTTCTCAGGGGAAGGGAGGCAAACCTGTCCTTCCCTCTTTGCTGTAATAGTGTATGATTTTGTTGCCTTAGTTGAAAGCTTTTAACCTGAATAACAAGGCTGAAGTTTTTGTGGTCTTTCATTTATGCATGCAGTTTGCAGGAAAGCCTGACATCACAAAATTCCCCTTTATGTTGCCTTGTGAGACAACAAACAGCATTTTAAAATTTAATTAACAACTTACTGCCAAGCGTGACCATGACCACTGATTAGCATGATGTGCAAATGCACTTAGAAAAAATATCTGCATAGGAATGTCTTGCTACAGTCATCAAATTCATCAGCTTCCCAGGGACATATACTGGAACAGTGAGAGAAGCTGGAATAGCAAACCTAGTAGGGCCATTATTGCAGAGGCTGCTAGCATTTCCGGAAGTCCTAGAGAATCATTCATTCAGCACACCCTGGATGAGCACCTGGTCTGTGGTAGGAACTACGTTAGTCATTAAAAGACATCCTATGGATTTTACAATTCAGTCGTTAAGGCAGCCATTAAAACAATATAAATAAATGTGTAATTAGAATTGCAGTTGCAAGTTGTGGGAAGAGCTATAGAGTAAAAGAATCAGAGTGCTTTAAGGTAGCACTGCTTGAACTTCCATGCGCACAGGAATCACCTGGGGATCTCATCAAAATGCAAAATCTGATTCTGCAGATTTGGGGAGAGTTTGCGGGCCCACCTTCCTCCCTCCCTCCCTTCCTCCCTCCCTGTCTCTCTGTCTCTCTTTAAGGTGGAGCCTTGCTCTGTCAACCCAGGCTGGAGTACAGTGGCAGGATCTCAGCTCACTGTAGCCTCTGCCTCCTGGGTTCAAGCAATTCTCCTGCCTCAGCCTCTCAAGTAGCTGGGACTACAGGTTCCCACCACCACACTTGACTAATTTTTGTATTTTTAGTAGAGACGGGGTTTCCACCATGTTAGCCAGGGTGGTCTCGAACTCCTGACCGCAGGTGATCTGCCCTCCTCGGCTTCCTAAAGTGCTGGGATTACAGGCATGAGCCACTGCGCTGGGCCAACATTCTGTATTTCTGGCAAGCTTTCGGGAAATGCTGATATTCCTGGTTCACAGAACGCACGTTGAATAGCCCAGCTGTAAGAAGTTATATCAGAGAGGAGGACCTAATTTAGATGGGGGTCAAGGAAGGCCTCTCTTCTCTCTGTCACTTCAATACTTTCTGGTTTCCTAATTTCAGACAGGGGATGTCAAAAGCAAAGCATCTCAAACAGGAAAGAAGCCTGTCACTTAAACCTTCACCCAGGGCCCAGGGAATCTATGACAGAAGCGTGACTATTCCTATTTTGAAGAGCTCTTGGGATGAGGTCTTTATAGCTTCTTCTGGCTACCCATGGTAGTCAAGATTAGACAATCAAAGCCAGAGGGGAATTGAAACATCTTTCAGTCCATCAAGCTACTTTTATGGAGGAGTAAACCAAGGTACTCATGAGTCAGAGGCCGACCTTGGACTGAAATTCTCTGGTGTACTTTCCACTGCCCCAGGAGAGATGCTGTTTCCAGAAACCAAGGATAGAAGAGCTCATTCCTTCCTCCTCCCCTCTCCCATAAGTAGTCCTTGCATTTGGAGGTGGAACAGCAGGGTCTAAAGAGATGATGACTGTTCAAATTCAACAAAGACTGTTCATAAACAGGTATTATGCTAAGTGTTGTTCACCAACTACTTTTTGGCCAGATGTCCCCCAGTCCTAGATTTCTCTCCCTAATCTTGTCTGGGGATCTGGGTCCTAGCTTGGGAAATGGGAACTATCTTGCTTGATGATTTGGCTTTGAGTAAGGTAGTGCCTAGGCTGAGCGTAGACACAAATGGACCCTCCCAGGTTTTCATTCTTAGCTCCACTGAGTAGCTCAGGAAACTTTATCTCCATGGTTATCAGCCAGCTACACGTCCTTAAATGTACTTTCTCTTTTTCCTGGCCTCTGTAGATGTCTGATGTGTATTCCCAGCAATAATAAGTTCTTTTCATGTATGGAGGGGGGAATGGTCATGTTTAACCTGTTTGTCCCCAGCTATAAAATGACCCCCATCCCATCATCTTCCCTGCCTAGAATTGTTTTCCTCTCCTTTGATCAGTGATTAGATGGCTAATAATCTGTCTTCCCACTGGGCTATTGTGGACATGATAAAATCTTATAAGGCGTTAGCAAGTACTTGAAAAGCATAGCTATTTTGAGCACTGCCTTGATGTTACTGATGTGTTTAATTTGCCCCCAAACCTTGAAAGCCTTGTTTCTTTTCACAGAGCAATGATCAGCAGAAGCAGTCAGCTCCTAAATTTGCTTTGGACACAAAATGCCCTGTTGGACTGAAAATAATCAAAGGCAACTCTGTTTGGAATATGCCAGAGGGAATTCCACATTCCTTTCCTTGCTTCCCTCACATAGTCTTGTAAGGTGGGCTCTGGCTCATGGTCCACAGAGACTTTTGTGAAGAATACCTTTTATTTTCGAGCTAATTGATTATTTCAATTTCAAGCTAATGCATTATTTCATTTGGCCTTTAACTTGACCCCAAGAATTAGGGATTCATCAAGACTTAGAGAAATGACTTCATAATGTGATAATGATTACAGAAGGTCCCACAGGTGGTGAATAGCATGGAAGGGATTCAAACTCAGGTGAGTTTGACTCTGAAGGCAATGCTCTTCAATGTCCTCCTGCATTGCCTTTCTAGATGAGGGCAGAATAAAGCTGAGCAGTAAAATCTCCTGAAATTTCATGGAAAAGTGAATGGAAATCATAGAAAGTCCTCAGGGGAAGACTGTTTTTACTGGGAGCACATGGTCTGTCAAAGTGAGAATTGGACCACAGTGGCTTAAATCAGTGCTTCTCTCACTTTAAAAGACTTATCAGCACGTGGGGATTTTGGTAAAAGCAGATTCTGATTCAGTAGGGAGGGTGCCTTAGGTTTTGCATTTTTGATGAGCTTCCAGGTGATGCCAATGTTGCCATGGACATGGACCACCCCTTGAGTAGCAAGGTCTTAAATACTGATTTAAGTATTTAAATTGTGGTCCCAGGACCACAATTTAAACAGCAAAGTTCTAGATTAAAACAGGTATTACCATAACGTAGTATGTGACCCACATTAAGTAGTGTATTACACTACTTAGTAGGCAATCAGAACACCCGAGGTCTTGAGTGATGGCTGTAGGATGCTGAGTGTAGATTTGGGCTCAGATATGGGCTTAGGAAACCTTCCTAGTTTGAGGATGGCAGTGGCATCTTGTCCTCTCAGTCTCTTCTATCA